GCAGGGTGAAGAGCAGAGGGAGAGGGACAAGTAGACTCCATGCTGAGTGCAGAGCCTGACACAGGGCTAGATCTCACAACCCTGAGATCATGACTCCAGGTGAAATCAAGAGTCTGGCACTTAACCGACTGTGCCACCCAGGCGCTCCCAAAATATTTTTTATAATGGTAGGTATTCAGTATACATGCTGAATAATAACTATATATTGAAGGCCCTCCATGATATGCCCCACACTTGCTGTTCTAGCTTTACCTCCTGTTATTCCCCTAGGAATAATGTTCCAGCCAGTTTGGAATAATCATGATCCCCTAAATACCTACTGAATTTTCCTGCCTATGAGCCTTTACCCTTACTATTCTTTCCTTATATTTTTGACCGTTTGAATCTGGTCTGGTGGCACCTGGGTGGCTCAGTTAAGCATCTGGCTCTTGATTTCAGCTCAGGTCATGGTCTCAGATTCCTGAGATAAAGCCCCATGTTGTCAGGCTTCATGTTCAGTGAGGAGTTGGCTTTTCTCCCTCTCCCTCTGCCCCTCCCCCTGCTCACTCTCTCGTGCTCTCTCTCAAATAAAAAAATAAATCTAAAAAAAACCAACAACAAATCCTGTCTTTTCAGTTGCCTTTCCAGAGCCCTCTGCCAGAAATAATTTTCTTTGTTCCACTACTGTGACACTGTGTATTACTCATGCATCAGAGATATATATGGGTTTGTGTGTGTATGTATATATTTTATCTAATCTACTAAATTATAAATTCCTTGTGGGTAGGTAGTGACAATTCTGTATGCTGTGCCTAGTATTTTGCTTAGCATGTGTTAGGTAATGTCTGATTGGCTGAAGTAAATGTTAGCTAATTAACTTTGATGGCTGCTCTTAATCATTACATATGGAATAATATAACTACTCTTCACTATTCTAATTTATTTTTTTAGTACTTTAAAAAAATTATTTTATTTTTAAATTATTTTATTATTTATTTATTTATTTTAAATACTTTGTTTTTTTATTTGTCAGAGCACAAGCAGGGGGAGTGGCAGGCAGAGGGAGAGGCAGAGGGTGTCCCTTTAATTATTTTTTAAAAAGATTTATTTATTTGAGGGGCGCCTGGGTGGCTCGTTGTTAAGCGTCTGCCTTCAGCTCAGTCATGGTCCCAGGGTCCTGGGATCAAGCCCCACATCGGGCTCTCTGCTCAGCGGGAAGCCTGATTCTCCCTCTCCCACCCCCCCGCTTGTGTTCCCTCTCTCGCTGTGTCTCTCTCTGTCAAATAAATAAATAAAATCTTAAAAAAAAGATTTATTTGAAAGCGCATGCACAAGTGCGAGTGGGGGCAGGGGCAGAGGGAGAGAATCTTCAAGCAGACCCCCCACTAAGTGGGGAGCCCGACTTCTGCTGGATCCCACCACCCATGAGATCATGACCCAAGCGGAAACTAAGAGTTGGTGGCTCAATTGACTGAGCCACCCCGGCGCCCCTTTGCTATTCTAATTTAAAAATAGGCAATAGGTAATATATATGTGTGACACAAAATTCAAGAGGTACAAAAGAATATACAGAGAAAAGTAAGTCTTCCTCTCATCCTGGTTCCCTACTTCCCTTCTCTGGAGGCAACCTCTGTTAGCCATTTTTTCAAAATCCTTCCAGAGATGTAGAACATATTCATCTTGCCTAAATAATTTAAGGATGGAACGATACTAGAGATTTTATCTTTTCTCTTCTGATACTTTGAATTATTTTTGAATTTGTTAATCTTCTGTTTCTTGGTTCTCTTCCTCCTTATTGTTGTTATGTTCTCATTGTTGAATCTTGTCAGGAGAGAACACGTGCCTAGGGCATTTGGAAAGCAGATAAGTCTTCTGGGACTAACCTAGGTGTTTCTTTTCTTTCTTTAACCTAGGTGTTTCTTTAAATTGTCATTAAAATCAATGTTTTGTTATGTTGGATTCTCTTGTGGATTTGAAGGCGGTATTATGGTCCTGGACAAAATTTGTTCCTGTCCTTTTTCCCTTTATTATAATGGTTTTCATACTTCCTGCTTTCTGGGGGTCCTGTCTTATGCAAAATATGCAAATGGTCCTACTGGAAGGATGTATTTTTTTCTGTAGATCTCTGGCTCATTTTCTTTTAGATCCCATTAAACTCTGTAAATGCCTCATGGGCAGAAATTATATTTCATCTCTTTCATCATTATTGATTTTAAATTATATATATATATATTTTTTAAGATTTTATTTATTTATTTGAGAGAGAGAGAGAGAGAGAGAGTGCACATGAGAGGGGGAGGGCCAGAGGGAGAAGCAGATTCCCTGCTGAGCAGGGAGCCCTATGCGGGACTCGATCCTGGGACTCCAGGATCATGACCTGAGCCGAAGGCAGTCGCTTAACCAACTGAGCCACCCAGGCGCCCTATTTTTTTTTTTTTTAAAGATTTTATTTATTTGAGAGAGAGAGAGAGAGAAACAGCATGAGAGGGGATAGGGTCAGAGGGAGAAGCAGGCTCCCCGCTGAGCCGGGAGCCCAATGTGGGACTCGATCCCAGGACTCCGGGATCATGACCCGAGCCGAAGGCAGTCGCTTAACCAACTGAGCCACCCAGGCGCCCTGATTTTAAATTATATTGATGGTATAGTAATATAGTTTCCTTGTAAAAAATTAAAAGATTATAGGTAAGGCTAAAGTGTCCTCTGATTACACCCTGATTTCACAATATCATCTCGAGAGATAACTATGGTTGTCGAGTTTGGGGTACATCTGCCCAGACTTTTTAAGATTTTATTTAGTTGACAGAGAGAGACAGCGAGAGAGGGAACACAAGCAGGGGGAGTGGGAGAGGGAGAAGCAGGCTTACGGCTGAGCAAGGAGCCCAATGCGGGGCTCGATCCCAGGACCCTGGGATCATGACCTGAACTGAAGGCAGACGCTTAACGACTGAGCCACCCAGGTGCCCCCATTTTTTTTTTAAAGATTTATTTATTTGGGAGAGAGAGAGTGTGGGTGCGATGAGCGGGGGCGTGGGTGTTTGTGGTGGTGGGGGATAGGGAAAGAATCTCAAGCAGACTCCCCACTGAGTGTGGAGCTGGACGTGGGCCTATCTCACCCAGAGACCATGACCTGAGCCAAAATCAAGAGTCAGACACCCAACCAACTGAGCCACCCAGGCGCCCCTGCCCAGACCTTTTATTCTCTGTTTACATAGGTATAAATTACCTGGACAAAATACATTAAATACACTTAGCAACATGGATGACTCACAAACATAATGTTTCAAGGGAAAAGGTCAAACTGCAGAAAAATACATGCAATATTATATTGGTTACATAAAGTAAAAAAATATGCAGAATAATACTGTTATTTAAAAATATTTATCGGAGCGCCTGGGTGGCTCAGTCGTTAAGCGTCTGCCTTCGGCTCAGGTCATGGTCCCAGGGTCCTGGGATCGAGCCCCGCATCAGGCTCCCTGCTCAGCCGTAAGCCGGCTTCTTCCTCTCCCACTCCCCCTGCTTGTGTTCCCTCTCTCGCTGTGTCTCTCTCTGTCAAATAAATAAATAAAATCTTTAAAAAAATAAAAAAAAAATTTATCAATGAAGTAAAAGTATGAAGCAACATAAAAGTTTAATAAACATCAGATTTAGAATAGTGAGACCTATGGATGAAAGAGAGGAGGATATGATTAGGGAGAATACACAGAGACTTCAGTTGTATTATTCTTAATCTGGATCCTGGCTGTTCTATTGCTTTTTATATTGTACTATATGTTAAATATTGCATATTTTCAAAAACAAATCTAGTATTTTATGTAGGGTGGGTGGGTTGGTTGGTTTTTACATAAATGGTAACATAGAATTATATACTACAGTTCCTTTTTTTTTAAATTCCATATATCTGAGAGCTCTATCCATGTCTTATTTGCTTTGTATCCTTAGAACTTTGAAAGATGCTGTTTGCATAGTAGGTGCTTAATAAGTAATATTTGTGGATTTCTTTCTTCCCTTACCCTGATAACCTTACTGTTTTAACTTTCCTGGAGCCTGATCTAAATGTTTGTCTAACTATATGCCTCCGTCACCCTTTCCCTTTCTGCTTTTTAAAATTTTGTCCTTGTGAGGAGGGTTTCTAAATAATGGAAAGGGAAAAGTACCTAGGGTTTTCTCTATGCCAATAATAATGGAAAGTGAAAAGTACCTAGGGTTTTCTCTATGCCAAGAAGATATTCTGTTTTTTTTTATATTTTCACCTGGGAAGAGAATTAAATATCTTTTCTAAGTGCTGTTCTAGGCAGCAAAGAAAATCCTGTGATAATTCAGTTGGGAACACTTAAAGTACTAACGTAGTATTTTAGCTTCACTTCAGAGATTCATACAGAAGGAGCTTTAAAATGAGTCTACTTTTCAGTCTATCTTATTAGAGAGTTCCTGCTCTAAGCAAGTGAACTTGACCTTTCAGAACTTTTTAAAGGTGGTATCACTGCCACTGTCCAGTTTTCTGGAGCTGACTTGGTAGAATGGATGTAGTCTATAAGTTGACATTGTAATTGTGGTTCCAAACCAAGGCTATTTTTCTAACAGCCTTCATTCTTTTCTTTTAACTTAAGCTTTCACTGTTACTTTATTGAGGGAATAAAGAACAACAAAGGGAAGATCTGAAATATATCTTTAACAAACTAGTGACACAGATGTATCTGCGAACCTAAAATCCTCACAGGAGAGATTTTGGGGACAATTGACTTTGAAGAATTTGACACGCTTGCTAGAGATTGTTGAGGTGCTTTTGAGAAATTTTCTGGATTGATACTTTTTGAGTTGTATCTTGAAATTCTGGAGACCTCCAGGAGAGCCGGGTAGCTGGATTCATAACATAAGATGGACTTCATCCCATCCTGGTATTACTGGGGGGAAATCATGGTACTGAGAAGTTAAATCATAATTCTGACCTTATCAGGTACTGATTTAAACATGGGTATGCTCTGAGTAACTAAATATTAACTAACTTTTAACTGTTTTGGTAGGTTTACCAGGATGGTGGATAAAAATATTTACATCATTCAAGGGGAGATTAACATTGTGGTTGGGGCAATCAAACGAAATGCCCGATGGAGCACTCATACTCCACTGGTAAGTAGGGAATGGGCAGATAGCTTGGTCACTGAGTTGTAAGGGATCTGATGCATGGTTAAAACAGTAATCAATTTCTCTGTAATAATGAGAGTAGTAGGAACTCAGAATTGTTCTTGGTATCAAGGACCCTTTTATTTTTTAAAGATTTATTTATTTATTTGAGAGAGAGAGAGTGCACGAGTGGGAGGAGGGGCAGAGAAAGAGAGAGGGGGAAGCAGACTCCCCATTAAGTGGGGAGCCTGATGTAGGGGTTAATCTCACGACCCTGAGATCATGACCCTAAGATCATGACCTGAGCTGAAACTAGGAGTTGGTCGCTTAGCCGACTGAGCCACCCAGGCAGCCCTATCAAGGACCCTTCTGTTTTATTCCAACTAGTGTCAAATTCATAGGCTGCCTTTTTTTTCTCTGGGACCCAAAAGATGATACTATTCTTCTAGCTATTTTTGTGGACAACTGAAGGTAGCACTCGGGACCTCTTAAATATGCCTTACCTTTAGATTCCCTAGGACTATAATTAGCTATCAAATTGATACATGCAGGGTGGCTTGGTGGTGGTACTCCTTGGGAGTATATAGAGCAGACCATATCTTGCCAATCAGATGAGTAAGAAGTTTACCTGTTGTAAAGCTGTCTTTCTTTGTTGCATATGTATGTTCAAGGATATTTTTTGCACAGTTGTATAAAACAATATTTGGCACAATTGTAAAAACAAGTTTAGACATTTCCAACTTAGTGAATATATGTACATGTGTTTGGAAATTTCTCATGTTCATTTATAAAAATGGATTGTTTAGGGGTGCCTGGCTGCCTCATTCGAGGTTGGAAGTTTGAGCCCCATGCTGGGTGTAGAGATTACTTAAAATCTTATTTTATTATTATTATTTTAGTAGGCTCCACGCCCAGTGTGGGGCTTAAATTTACAACTGTGAGATTAAGTGTCCCATGCTCTACTGACTGAGCCAGACAGCCGCCCCAGAGACTTTTTTTTAAAGATTTTATTTATTTTAGGGGCGCCTTGGTGGCTCAGTCGGTTGAGCGACTGCCTTCGGCTCAGGTCATGATCCCAGGATCCTGGGATCGAGTTCCACATCGGGCTCCCTGCTCTGCGGGGAGCCTGCTTCTCCCTCTCCCCCTGCTTGTGTTCCCTCTCTCGCTGTGTCTCTCTCTGTCAAATAAATAAATAAAATCTTAAAAAAAAAAAAAAGATTTTATTTATTTTATTTGAGAGAAAGAGCAAGCACGAGTCAGGGGCAGAGGGAGAAGCAGACTCCTTGCTGAGCAGGGAGCCCGATGCGGGGCTCAATCCTAGGACCCTGAGCTCATGACCTGAGCCAAAGGCAGACGCTCAGCTGACTGAGCCACCCAGGCACCCCAAAACTTTTTTTTTTAGGATTTTATTTATTTTTTATTTTTATTTTTTTAAAAGATTTTTTATTTGACAGAGAGAGACACACAGCGAGAGAGGGAACACAAGCTGGGGGAGGGGGAGAGGGAGAAGCAGGTTTCCTGTTGAGCAGGGAGCCCGATGCAGGGCTCGATCCCAGGACCCTGGGATCATGACCTGAGCCAAAGGCAAACACTAACAACTGAGCAACTCAGGCGCCCCAAGATTTCATTTTTAAGTAATCTCTACACCCAGTACATGGCTTGAACCCACAACCCCGAGATCAAGAGTCACATGCTCTACCAACTGAGCCAGACAGGTGCTCCAAAAATAAAATCTTAAAAAAATAAAAATGGTTTAGAAGTGAGAGTGGAATCAGCAATGTCTTAAAATGAGTATGTATGATTATATAATGAGTATAAAGAAGGAGAAGAGATAGAATAATACATTATTTTAGTCTTTTGGGATGCTATAATAAAGTACCACAGATTAGGTGGCTTATAAACAAGAGAAATTTATTTCTCACAGTTCTGGAGACTGGAAGTCCAAGATCAGGATGGTGGTCAGGTGAGAGCCCTCTTCTGGGTCTCAGACTTTTCCTCCCATGATGGAAGGAGCAAGGGAGCTCCCTTGGGCCTCTTTTATAAGGGTATTAGTTCCATTCATGAGGGCAGAGCCCTCACCACTTTCTGAAGGCCCTAATCACCCACCTTTTAAAGGCTCTACCTCTTATACCATCACATGGACATAAGGATTTTTACATATAAGTTTTGAAGGGACATGCACATTCAGACCATAGCACATATAAAGGCCCTGGCAATCTATGGTAGCTTGAGTGCTGTGGTTATAGTATAGATTTAGTATTTCAGTGTTTACTATTTTAGGTAAGCCCAGAGTATCTTTATGAAATAGGAGATTAGGGAACTGGGAAACTGAACCATGGCTAACTTTATTTTCCTCAGAAGGGAAACTTAATCCTTGGATTCAAAGTGCCCTTGATCTATCTGTTATTTCCTTTTTCCTTTTTGTCTGATACTGACTCTTTTTTTTTTAAACCTATGTACTATAGGATGAAGAACGGGATCCTTTGCTGCATAGTTTCAGTCATCTAAAGGAGGTTTTAAACAATATAACAGGTAAGTCCCCACATCTAAGTAGGATTATTTATACTGATAAAAAACCATGTGTTTGATTTATTGTAGGGATAGACAAAACTTTTCCTGAAAGGGACTATATAGTAAATATTTTAGGCTTTGCAGGCCCTAGCAACTGTACAACTGCTCAATTCTGCCATTGTAGCTCAAAAACAGACATAGATAATACTTACATGAATGAGTGGTAAATAAAAATTTTTTCAGAAACCGGTACAAGCCAGGTTTGGCTCATGGGTATAGTTTGCCCCTGGTTTACTCCATTGTTGATCCTTTTCCTTGAGTTCCTGGTACAATGTCCCACTTTAGTGGGGAATCAATGTTCATACAATTAAAGCTCCCTTTAATAACCCTTTGAGTTATTATGAAGTTATTTTGGTCTTGTTTTAACTACTTTCTTTCTCTGTCTCATGCATGCCATGAGGTAGGAAGTTGGTGGCACAAGTGAAGTTTTTATTATTATTTTTTACAAGTCAAGTTTTTAGTACTTGCAACAAAACCCTTCTCTTATAGAAAGTCGTTGTCACTTTTAGGGCCTTATTTGTGTGTAATATAGATCTTTCAGTCATCATGTGTTCCCAAAGTCATTTGTCCCTTTTTTTACTCCCTGTTTTCCTAGTCATAATAACTATGTAATATTCATATGTTTAGAATTTTCAAAGCCTCTTTCATGTTTATTACTTTATTGAACTTTTACACAATCCTGTGAAGGAGGCGTAACAGACATTGTCCCCTTTTTATGAATGAAGTTGAAGCCCAGAGACATTTTAAATGATTTAGTTGAGGTCACATTGATCCTAAGTGGTGGAGTCAAAACTAGAATTTAGGCCTGGTTTAGTGCCCTGGTCTGCATTGCTTCTGTTTATGAAATTAGAAGAGAATGTATGCAGGAAGTACCTCCCATTATGTATATGTATGTGTCAAAGGAGTAGGCAAATCTCAATACCCTTGGGTTTTTCAAGGGGAGAGAGATGGAAGGGGAAAGCCTCAGAGCTATGTTCCTCTGTCAACCAAAAAGGACTTTTGCAATTTATATTCCTGGAGTGGAACAATTGAAATAGTTTTTAGGTTTCTGCAAGTTAAGTAAGCAATAACACATTTTTTCCTTTCATGAGAAATGTAGGAGGATATCTGGAGAAAAACTCCTTTTTACTTTCCTAAACTTGGGCTGAAGTTATCTAAGTGTTCTCTACATGTTTATTTAAAGGAGCAATTTCACTCAGTTGAAAAACATCGGAAATGTTAGCCAAAGATCAAGTATAGAGGAAGCGGTTAGTAGCCAGTTAGCAGGGTTAAAGCTGCAACTAAGTGGCATGTTCATATTTTATGGCCTGTACTGTAAGTGACTTGGCTGCTTTAGGAAGTTGGCTACTTGAACAGATTTTTTTTTTTGTTAACTTCAGATAAATATGCTTACCTATCCCAATTAGAAAGAAAATGTAGTGAGTAGGTATTTACAACTCTTTTTGGTGGCCAAAGTTCAGCGTGCAGTTGATCCTTGAATAATACAGATTTGAACCATGTAGGTCCACTTATATGTGGATTTTTTTCAGTACATACAGTACAGTACTGTAAATATATTTGCTCTTCCTTATAACTTTTTTTTTTTTAAGATTTTATTTTCAAGTGATCTCTACACCCAGTGTTGGGCTTGAACTCACAACCTTAAGAGCAAGAGTTGCATGCTCTACTGACTTCACCAGCTGGCTCCCCCCTTATGACTTGCTTAATAACATTTTCTTTTCTCTAGTTACTTTATTATAAGAATAAAATATATAATACATATGACATATAAAATATGCATTAATTAACTGCTTATGTTATCAGTAAGGTTCCTGATTAACAGGCTATTAGTTAAGTTTTTGAGGAGTCAAAAATTATACATGGATTTTCAGCTGCAAGGGGGGGTTGGTGGCCTAAACCCATGGGTTGTTAAAGGGTCAACTGTACTATCTTTTAAGAGATGTGAAGAGGATTAAATATGTTAGTATACTTGGAAACATATGACAAACAATTTATACACAGTATTGTGTTGTATGTGGTTGGAAACACCCAAAATGGCTGAGATCAGACTGGAGTAGCCTTGTAGGCCTTTTGGGCACTCTGCAGACGTTGAGGAGCTGAGATGGTGCTGCTATCCTTTTTTTTTTTTTTTAAAGATTTTATTTATTTATTTGACAGAGAGAGAGACAGAGAGGGAACACAAGCAGGGGGAGCGGGAAAGGGAGAAGCAGGCTTCCTGCCGAGGAGGGAGCCCGATGTGGGGCTCGATCCCAGGACCCTGGGATCATGACCTGAGCCGAAGGCAGACGCTTAATGACTGAGCCACGCAGGCGCCCCGGTGTTGCTATCCTGACAGAGCTACATTTCCTTCTTGCCGTCTAATCCATATCCCATACTTGTTTTCTCTATCCTGACATATCCCTGACATATCTCAAGAGACCATATCTGTGGTGAGTGGCGCAGTCCAGGACTTGGGGTTCTTGACCATCTAAGAGCTGCCAGAGTTGAGTCTTCTGCTTAATTTTCCTTTATCTTTGAGTCAGGAATCCGGATTATCTGCTGCTTCAAACTAATAAAATCAGGATGTGCTGAGGAGCCAGTTCTGTCAGTGGTACTAGGAACATAGCTGGGTGTTGCCAAGCTCTCTCCTGGAGCAAGAAGGTAATAGTATTTTCCAGGGCAGATGTTGAAATGGTGTCTGCCAAGGTTGCTCATTGTTCTTAGGTTTTAACATATTACCTGCCTGAAAAAATGACAGAGTGGACCCAAAATGGAACATTTCGTAGTCTTTTTTTTTTTTTTTTTTAAGATTTTATTTATTTATTTGACAGAGAAAGAGGGAACACAAGCAGGGGGGAGTGGGAGAGGGGAAGCAGGCTTCCTGCCGAGCAGGGAGCCTGATGTGGGGCTCGATCCCAGGACCCTGGGATCATGACCTGAGCCGAAGGCAGATGCTTAACGACTGAGCCACGCAGGTGCCCCCGTTTCATAGTCTTCTGATTGGTTCTGACCCCCCACAAAGTGCTGGCTTCCAGGAGCAAGTTTATGGGTCAGCTGCCCCTGTGGTCCTGGACTCTGTAGTCCATGACCAATTTCTTGTTTCTTTTACTGAGACAAACAGATTTTTCTGATTGGCAGTGTCAGGAGGACTGCTTTCTTGGAAGCCTATTAATGCATTAATGGTAGGAGGCTGGGAAAGGGTTTTGAACTTGGAAAGAGAAACTGAAGGGACTGCCTGCTCTGTGTGACTGGGAATGGTGTCCCACCTAGACTGGAGGAGGTATGGCAGGAATTCTAGGACTTCCATTCAGTTTAACTCATGAAACTGACTTGGGCTTAGACTCTTCTTATAAAAAGGCTTTCTACCTCTGAAACAAATAATGCAATATATGTTAAGAAAAAAAAAGAAGAAGAAGAAGAAGGTAGCAGGAGGGGAAGAATGAAGGGGGGAAATCGGAGGGGTAGACGAACCATGAGAGACGATGGACTCTGAAAAACGAACTGAGGGTTCTAGAGGGGAGGGGGGTGGGAGGATGGGTTAGCCTGGTGATGGGTATTGAGGAGGGCACATTCTGCATGGAGCACTGGGTGTTATGCACAAACAGTGAATCATGGAACACTACATCTAAAACTAATGATGTAATGTATGGGGATTAACATAAGAATAAAAAAATAAAAAAAAATAAAATGGAGCAGTTAGAGAACAACAAAAAAAAGGCTTTCTATTTGCTTTTTTCTAGGCTATCTGCTGGCTTGGTTGGTTAGGAGTATCAGTGTTGGAAATGGGTAGTTCATTGGACAGTGTCAGTAAACCAAAATGATTTTTTTTCTTTTCTTGTAAATAGAGGATCTTTTAAGTAGATAAGCACTACCTACTCTTCCAGGAGTATTATCTGAGCATTGTGGAAGAAATAAGTCCATTGTCTCTAATAAGGTTAGCTAACTCAATACCAGTTATTCTCACAGATACATGTTTCTGGACTACGTTCGCAGTTAGTATTTGCCCAAATTGCATGATGACTGCATGCTTTGTAGCATTTAGAGTAATAAAATAGTCTAATATCAAATCTAAAGTGACGGTTGCACTTGGAAGATACTGGGTACCTAAGAGCAAAGTTTGCATGTTGCTATTTTGGATAAAACCTTAGCTCACCATTAGTGAGACTTGAGTGCTGCCCCTCATTTGGTCTTTAAGCCGTCTTAGGAATCCTTTTAGGAGGTTATTCTGAAAAGTTAAATTAGATGTGTGGTTACCAGGGGCTGGGAGGGGGTCTGGGGAGTGACTGCAAGTGGGTATAGGGTTTCTTTATGGGGTGATGAAAATGTTCTGGAATTAGATAGTGGTCATGGTTGTAGAACTTTTTGAATATATTTTAAAACATTGAATTGTACACTTTAAAAGGGTAAATTTTATGGTATGTGAATTACATCTTAATTTTTAAAAACAGCAAATGTAGGCTGGAAGAGTAATGGGATTCGCCAGTTCTTCCTCAGGACTCAGAGCTATGGAGGGAAGCCTCTGTAGCTGCCGCTGTGCCCTGAACCCATTACCCAGCAAAGGCAGCATAAGGCTCTCTTCAGCCTCCTGGCCCAGTTTGTCCTTTTATGTCTCTCTCATTAACTCAAGAAGCACATGGCTTTTATATTTAAATTTATTCAAGCTGTAATCTTTGACATTTGAGTTAGCTTTTAGTACAGTTTTGCATTTATAGTAATATATATTATGTATTTTCTCTATCCCCAAAGAATCCGTTTTAATCTTTTCCGGATGCAAATTTCAGGCTGTCTTGTCCCATCTCCCCTCTCTTGCTCTCTTTCCCCTCCCCCCACGGAGTGTGTTTGATCAGGTGTGGCAGGAATATCCACTGTCAAGCTGCGCCCTTTATATTAGTCAATATTATCCTTCTCCCCCCTCCCTGTCTGTCTGCCCCTATGGGCTTTCCCAGTTGATTTATAATTTTGGAATTCTCATCGGAGTCTGT